CTTAGGTCAGATAAGGAAGGAGCAAACCAAGGACTATGCAATACCCCAATTTGGCGCATTAAGTCAGTACCGGTTATCGTTGAAAGCTTACTAGACCTTTGGGACGGTCCATAAGGTAACAAACTGCCACTGAAATCACCTACGAGGAAGTATTTTGCTGATAGCTGAGGTGATAGCTGTCTGACTAAAAAAGTTTATGGAGAGAATAGCATTACCGATCAGGAAAAGGGAGACTGGAATGACCATTTCTGGCTTGTTGGCCGTCATCAGCCGGCCATACCTAACTCTAGGGTATGCAGCCCCCGAGTCTCAAGCTCACAACCTGATGGTTAGAAGTCCGGTGCTCCAAACATTAGGCCACGGTTGTGATCGGACACATTAACAATGGTCGAGGTACGTGCACCAATCACGTTACTTAACTCGCTCGTCGCATTGTACTTTGGGGATCTTTCTCGAGCCCCACCAGCTGCCGCACAGCAGCACGCTTGTATGCGCTCTAAAGACTCTCATTTACCACCGCACGCTGCACCTACCAGCGAGTGAGTACAAAATCGGTTTTTATGCGCATTTCCTAGCCCTCTCTCTCCGCAGCAGCCCGTGAATACCGGCACCCCCTGTCAGACGTAATACGCAACCGTCACTCCAGTAAAGTCCCACCCCATCTCTTTACTCCTTGTGCACGGGGCCAGCCCGGTGACGAATGAAAAAAACGATCATTTGGCGGCGTATCCATGCTGAATGGACTGATTCACATAATTGTGTTCGTTTTACAGGAAGGTACGTCTGCCTATATTGTGAACTTGAGGGAAGGGAGTACTTCAGTCCTAAAAAGGCTCTTTCTTGTAGGCATGTTGGGGATGCTCGCAGGATTACACGTGGTTTGCTGTTTACAGATCTTGTTGGCTTTGCTTGCAGTGTAGGACGCAGTCCATATTTATTACTTGCATATATACGAATGAGGGATATAAAATTCGATCGAGAAAATACACTGGAGATGCTAGTTCGGCTTCCAAAATGAACTAGTGATTGGGCTTTTTGAAATATAGCAAGCTTCCTCCAAGCATCAGCACCAGAAAAGAAAGTTTTTCTATATTTTTGGGAAATACGGGAAATTTACACAGGCACCGGGGATCAGTCAAAAAATTCTGTTTTACTGGGATACCTATTTTTCCGTGGATATAACGTGCACAAATTACTCGAAAAATTCACACTCCGAGTTAGAGATTCTGCAGTGCATAACTTATGACTATGTTCTGAACTATGCCGTATTGCCTCCACACTTAAGCAGCCGTTTATATGCAAAAGTAAATTTTCACAGTCTTATGGTTCCCGGCGTAAACTTCGAGTTTCTGACTTTTTAATTGCAAGGTTAAATTCGTTGTACGACACGGAAGACCAACTTAAAACAATGTGCACTGAGTACTTGGTCGTGTCTGCTCTCGATGCATAAGAGGTTAAACCGTTCACTTCCATCCTTCTCCTGCCGAAGACATTGGATTGCGCAAAACAACAGGATTTAATTCGTCGAATACCTGGACGCATACATGTGGTGGAATCTGTAACAGCATAAGGCTGGTCCTCCGCCTCCTACCTTTTATGCGACTGTGAACGAGCGCTAGCGGTCGAACGCACATAGCGCAGCCGCCTCTGCACACCGCCAGCTTTTGTGAGGCCGAGAGCCAAGCGGTAAAACAACAACCAAACCGACCAATGGTCGTTGAGCGGGCTATTATCATTATTCCAAGAGGGACTCGCGTGCCAAATACGACTTGCATTTTGACGCGCGAACACACCCAGGCAGTAATAACTCGGCCAGGCCTCACGAGAATGTGTGCATCGGGTGTGCCGATTTTCGCGTGTAGGCAATGAGCGATCACGGTGTTCAGACGGCTGGCTGGAGAGCGAATTCATTTTCGGCTGAGTCTCCTGGTGGGCTTTCTGGACTGAGTTCGCGCACATGACATTAGCGCATGGAGCCAATAAGTTCGTCATGATCTGCAGGTTACCTAATATCAGTTTTTGGTCGAAGAAAATTCACCTAGAAATCTCAAAACGATTTCCTGGACAAAGATCACAACAACGCACAGGAAGCGGGTAATTCCTCGAAAAGCCCCTGTAAGCACGTGCGAGGATTGAAATCTAAGAAAATCTATAGGGCTATAATACATAAGCAGCTCACTAAGAGTGCAACAGACCAGACGCAGACAGCTGTTTCGTGGTGCTGTAAGTCGCTCCACTGATAATTCTGAGTGTTCTTGCTAGGTCAGAAAAATACGGCAGTGGACTGTGAACTGTACAAGTGTGAGAAATTTACCGGATTGCATACCTCCATTTGTTCCAGCAATCAAAGTGGCAAACAATCTTGTTGACTAATTCAGTTTACCTCCTACACTAAACTCGGTTATGCATGTGCATTACTGTTACCTAAAATGACTTCAAGGTTCGTAGCCTACGCAAATACCCCTAGCCATGCGTGGAGCAAGCTAAGTCCTCAGAGTCTTAACCACCTCATGGATAAGTCAAAAAGATCCATCCTTTTATTTTTAAAGACTATTTTTCCGTTTAAAACCATGAACCCTCGGTGGTGTAGAACAGCTGATTGTTCTACCTGCACAGCCTATTTGCGTATACGCGGAGGAATAAAGTCGTAGGTGGAGCAATTGATTTTCGCAGTGTGGATATTCCAAAAGTACTGGGAACTTTATCTAACTCTCAGTATCCCGGACCGAGGATATGAGGCACCTTAAATGCTATTCACTCCAACTAAGTAGGATGCAAGTGTGACGTTTGTAGCAGTGCAAAGCGTTGAAATGGGTGGTTCTGAGATGAAGGCTGCACTAGTCCCTCTCGTCTTAAGAGGTCCGCGTTGGCGAGCATTTTCGAGAAAATTGAGCAAAGTGCAACAACCAGTAGACTCACCTGGCACTAATGTGCTTAAGTAGAATCGACTCGAATTAAGCCCCTGGTGCCATATAGAACGATTGCTTCATGTGTGAAATAGGTTCCATACCGTTAACTGTGGTATATTAAGTGAGTTTTCGCGCTCACACACTTGTGAATTCGCGAAAAGGATACCGCTGTTATTGAGTTACCTTTTTTGATCGGCACGAATTCGCGTCAAAGAGCTGTAATTAACTACTGAAACGTGCTACAAAGCATGACCATTCAGAATCCCAGTCGCGTATGAACTGGGTCAGTCCGTTTTTTGCAGACCGGAAGGTTCAGGATGACACAGAGTTCCAATGGTTATCTTCAAGTCATGGTGGAATGGAAGGATTTTACCAAAGCAACGTCCGAGACCGTAATTCAGGAAATTTTAAATAGTACTCAATAAACCCCGGTAGCATAGTTCAGTTTGGTCGAAAATTGTCTTTTAGGAATGTCACATGTACATTTGTGAAACGACCTTACGTTTTTAGACGTATACTCCCATGATAGAGGAAAATCTCACGAAACCGCATACGACCAAACGGTTGGAAGGGACGTTGGAGTGCCTCTGAATGTCTATCGTAATTAAAGTTGTATTTGGATTTTTCCTTTCAGCTAACGAAGGACTCAAATCTGCTAACGACTTTTAGTAAGCTCTTCTTAATAACTACTGCCGGCACTTGCATTCCTCCAAACAGGCGTATTATACAATGTATTTATAAAGAACATGGGTTAATCCATATACAAAAACTGGGTCCTCCGTTCAGCCCACGCAAGTGCCCGACACCTTTGAATGAAAGCACAAACGGCTTAGTGCCTCTGGTCGCCTTTACTTCGTAATTTAAAATGCAGTCCGCACAGACGTAGGGCGAAACCCACGACAACTGCGTACTATAAATACTGCAGTCTTTGTACCTCCACTACCCCTATTCGCGACTACCTCTGATTATGGGTTTGAGTGAGATTCCGAAATGTCAGGCCGATAACCTTCTTGCTCCAGTGATGACATCTTCAGAACTGCTTTCTGGAACTCGCTTGTTGGCTATCGGCATCACCAACTGGCCCCAGGCCCTTCCGCTTCTGTATTCGCCCAACACCCTCCTAGGGAAGGTGACCTCACAATTATCGACGTACCAGTGGGGCTGATGCCATCCCAAAATGCCTCCGTGAATCCATGAACGGGTTAACTGCGCATCAAAGCACTTCCGGCCAGGGGACCGCGGTCTGTTTGAAAGCAGAAAACGGCCTCCCGGCCGCGCCAACTCCAATAAGTTAATGTTAGCCTATTGGTATAAATTGATGCACTCCTGGCAGTCAAGGTTACCGACGAGGTAAATCATGAACTCCATGCCACCGGCTCCAAACAGTACAACCAATTAGCCACAATTTAACAAGCACGTCTATCAGTCATTCGAGAACTATTGTTGCCGCTCCTGTGTCTAATTAACCGGCATGTACAACTTAATCTTCCAACAGTGCCTTCGCGTTCCCACGGTCCCCACAGATGTCGCTTCTTCCCCCCCCCCAGTAGTCCTCAGCCTGAAGCTTTGTTAATGCATACATTATTTTGCTAATCCTTCCCCGACCTTTCTCACCTTTTTTGTTTAGCCAAAGAGGCATCTGTATAAGTAAACATATCGTCCGTAATGTCTTCTGACATAACTCGGTCATACGCGTATTCAGTCAACACTGTCCTTCGACGGCACTTTTCGCGGTTGGACGATCGTTCGTTAAATCTGTCAGGGGGCTCACATGTGTCATTCGGGTAAAACGGCGGCAAAGCTTTCTTTTCCAAAAGAGAAGCTACTTGCAACGCATTTCCCACTGAATCTCCAAATACCTAGAAGTCATTAGTTCCCCTTTTATCTCGTGTCAGGACAAAAGCGACAACCAAGACGACTCGCTTATTTAACAAACTCCATTACCCCGGTTACACTCACATTTAAGTTGAAATCTTACGTCGTCACTGCGTCCCCTTCCTTGAAACATGTTGGGACAGAAAGTGTGCTTTATCGTTTATTACCGACAAAAGACAATCAGAAAACATAAACAGAGCATAGGAGAGGGAATATTCACGAAGCCGGCGAATTGGTAGCTTTAAAGGAAGGATCGATTGAGCTGGCCATCCTGCGGGATTTCGAGACTCGGCGGGTTGTATCTGGAGGAAAGATTGAAAGTGACAAGTTCCAAATATATGAGCTGATCTTGGTGTTTGACAGTATCGGCAAAACTGGAAGTAAATGACGTTGCGGCATATACATTTTAGGCGAATAAGCGATGGAGAATCGCCAGAAGCAGTAGCCGTTTCATGGAAAATACCAATCAATAAGACCATGTGAGCACTGTTCTTATTTGGATTCTAGAAAACGCATTATTCTGCTCACATTCAGCGACTTTTTTGTTAAATTTTAAATTTGATTTTTGAAAATAGAACGATAACGGGTCTCAAACTCAGTGGTGCGAATGATCCTAACACATATTCAAGACGAGCGGCACTGTAACTTAGACTTTAGATCGGAGAACTGCGCCGATCATTATGCACTGCATTTGTGAACTAAGTGCAAAGTAATTCCTGACTTAAAGAGGTTGCATACAATGGACCTCATAGGCGATGTCGCGCGGAAAAGAGCTGCAAGCACCTATCATTAATAACGAAAAATGGATCTTCCGAATGCCTTTAACACAGTCCCTATCAGGAGTCCTGCCTTCTCTAAATAAAGGAAAGTCATATACCCGTTGTCATAGAGGTGTGAGGTGTGACCGGCAGTGCTTGCCCTCCGCCACTCGAAGTACTCCCTGAATGGCCGCCCGGGGTCGCCCACAGAATCTCTGGGAAGCGGACAGACTTTCTGGTCCCAGTAACCCCGGGTGTAGACTTGGCAGCGGACCCTGTGCGAGTATTTCTCAGAGAGTATGGGGAACTGGCGTGGTTAAGTGAGGCTGCCGGTGGAGCAACAAGGGTGGGAGTAGAAGAAACGGCCGCCTTGGGAATCCGAGGCATGGGTGTGCCAGTCGCTGGTCGGGGAGGCGGTGACATTTGTCGAAGGAAACTCAGGGGGGTTTGTAAGGCTGAACGACTGGCTGCTGTTTCACTCCGAGAATTTCTCCTGGAGCCTTCATTAGGATGAAAATGAAACAGACTTGAATGATACAAGAGCTAACGGCCAGCGCTCGGGATAGAAATATTAGCAGGTCTAGTTACACCTAGTTGATGTACTAACGCAGGGCTTTGGTGTTCAGGGGCCTCAAAAGCAGCCTCGATTAGTGATGGAGACACGAGGCAAGGAAGCCGGCCCTTATCTATACCAATCTACCACCTGAAGTTGGTGAGAAATACACCAGAGTATTAGGTTGGAAGTAGGTGAAATGGAATGATACAATGCGATGTGTGACGAACCTTTTAACCTGATGGGTCGCCTCATAAAGACTAAGTATAATGCGCGAGGTAAGGAAAAACTATGGAGAACTACCTTCCATATTTTTCAAAGGAGGTGCTCTTCGGTAGTTTTTGGCCGGCATTTTGTCGGCAGGATGACATTCGTTGATCCGTACCGCCCCGAGCGGTCGGTGCTGAAATGTCTACATTGGCTCTCTTTTTTGCACCCCCCATACGCAATTCTTTAGTAAAAGGCAAAAATAACGTTTTTCCAGACAGATTCCAATCGGACATTTTGATGAGTCCGCATAACTAACTTTATTTCAAACAGTAGAAATTCAGTGTATTACTAGTAAGTGGCAAACTGCTTTGAAAGCCCAGTTTTAAAAAAGTTCAGCACAGAGAGCAAACGGGTGGTAAAGAAATTCTTCAAATATTTGTAGACAGAATGCATGTGTCTGCCAGTAAAGCAGGAGCGTTAAAACGTTGGTTAATCTGGTAAGCAGCGGTACTTGTTTTTACAATCTAAGATTGGTTGTCTTCCTTCTCACTCCATGGCTTGCACTTACTTGTTTAGTTGATGAGTTTGCCGTTACTTTCCACGATCTGCGCGAATTGGCACCACCTGTCACTCATTGCCCTCTATCCCCTTGTGACCATGAACCACCTTGGATTCTGATCCCACGTAAATTAGCCAGCGGTGATGCATTGAGTTTTCTCAATTTTTCCGATTAATATATTTTTATTTTTGCTTGAGTAAAGCGACTGATTTCGGCTTATTATTGTACCGCAGACAAGACCCCATGGCAGCTTTCGACTTTATTTTTCCATTTCGCTCCTCCGCCTCCCCGCTGCCTGATGTAAAGCCCCACTCGTATAACCCCTATTACCACCACTCTCATACATACGGTCCACCGGTTAGCATTTTACTACCCCGCGCATATACAGTATCTGTGCTAACTCATGAAATGCCGAGGTCAAAATTAGAGTGGAAACTGTAGCGTATTTTTTGGTGTTGTTATTTGTGTTTATTTAGTTGAAATAAGGACGAAAAGGCTGTTTGCTGAAGGAAAGTTTGATACGGATCTGTATATTTAATAGAAAACGGGCGGAATTTAGGCGAAATCGGAGGATTCCTGATATTCAAGCAGTTTCCCACGCTATTAAAGCTTTCGGATCGAAATTCCTTGTTTTACCTTAATAATCTGTTTAAGGAGATTAATAAAAGGAAAAAATTTTTTAATAAACTTTCGTACAAAAATAAAAAATTTCAATATCAAGAAGATTAGGGAAATGCAGATAAATTATATCTTATTGTGTTCAGGAAATAAGATGAGATTCTTCATCTAAAAATTCTATTTTACAAATCCGTAAAGTTTTATGTTTCAAAATACCGAAATAAAAAAGTTTATCAGTGTGATTGTTCTACCAGACCGAAAATGCGTATCGTAAACGAATATATATTGAGTTCGCGCGACATGCCGTCACTTTTCTCTATCACGCCAAACGATACCTATGTCTAAGCAATACTTATCCGAAGTTGACTTCCAGCGTATTCGAAAATTAGCGGCGGAGGGGATCCCGCGTGAGTCGTTAGCTAGTATTTTCAATATTAGTAAGGTCACTCTGTGGCGCATTATTAATGATAAAACTGTTCCTGAAAATAAGATAGGGGGACTCAAACGGTCCACAAGTAAGCAAGACGACGATTTTATTCGTCGTACATTAAAAAAGTTTCATTACATGCCCATTGAGACCATTCAACGGGAACATCTGTCGATGTTTTCTATGAATATCATTAGGAAAAGGATGAAGGAATTTGAACTGCAGCGGCTGAAGGCCATGATTAAGCCATATTTAAGTAGAAAACTAATTAGAGAACGGCTTTTATTTGCTAAGAAGTATATTGATTACAGATCTTCATTTTGGAAGAGCATTTTCTTCTGCGATGAGGTTTTATTTTTAGACAAGCCTACGAAATCGCTCCAAACCGTCATATGTGGAAAGAACTTCCAAAGAGGACGCACTACACCGACGGCAACATTCAAGAACTGTCGGCGGATGATGGTTTGGATGGCGATTAAATTCGGTGAGCGGCCTGTCTGGCGGTCAATATCCGACACCATCAACAGCAAGGTGTTTATTGCAATTGTCAAGGATGCTTTCGGCTACAACGGCATAAGTCGGCGCCGAATGGATACTGTAATTTTGCACGACAATGCACCTGTCCACCGCTCTAAAGAGGTACGAATTTGATGCCGCTTGCAAATATAATCTAACATTTTAGACAACAACCACCCTCTCCGCAATTTGCCTCCAATCCATTTTCATCCCGGCCAACAGTCCCGATTTGAATCCTATCGAAAATCTTTTTGGAATAGTCAAAAGAAATTGGCACAAAGCTAATAAGACTCTTTCAATGCAGGAAAAATTGGATTTCATACTCAATAATTACATTTTACAATCCACCATAGATAACCTCGTCATGTCTAAGTCTGACAGACTTTCTGCCGTTATTAAATCAAATAGACAATCAACAAAGTACTGATTTTTTGTATCTGTTTCTATCCTTAATTATTTTTGCCCTTTTATGCGCCCTCCTCCTTTATACGCCCTCATACGTAGCCTTTATTAACTTGGTTGTAATATAGGCGTTTCTCGAAAATGTGACTCTTGTCGAAAATTATTTATTTTTATCTCAGTAAATAATATTTTCTAAACCAAACTTTGCTTTATTTCTTTGAAACATCTTTTATTTTCCGCTATCAGACTTTGGGAGCCGTAGTGTTTACCGATTCTGCGTAAAAGTTGTTTGCCTGTGTTAATTCATGACATTTCATGAGTTAGCACAGGTACTGTGTTTAGTCCTCAGCGTTCGCACATCGTAATTGGAAATGGTCATCTACACCGGGTTGGATTTGTGATCTGGGTGACGAGCAGTCTTTGGTGAAATATGTAAAGGGGTATGCAGTGTTGGAATGGATTTTCGTTAGCCCTTAAGTGGGCTTAGAGAGTGGTGCTGTTGTGGATGTTGTTTGCGATTGGTAAACAAATAACTGCGAGTAAGTAGTCTAAGTATATGTTGGGCGAGTGACGTGTGTCCACGAATGAAACTGTAGCACACGGAGAATAGAGAAGGTTGACAGTTGGAAACAAAGTGCGCGGACAAAGGTCCCACGGCCAGTCCATCAGATCCCACACTAGAACGACAAACGATATAAAGCTAGACAAGCATGCGCGATCTATTTTCGGTTTAAACCAGTTTCTGTCCCTCCTCCGCAGGTTGCGCGATTGATGCGCTGAACCCGAGCAAAGGCCATATTGGCTTGTGGCGTGCGTTTGTCGGGCTGCGCCGAGTCCCTAATTTAGCAGTAAACGTTGCATGTTGCACGCGGTAGACTTTAGGTCACGTCAGCCGCTACACTCAGCCTTATCACCGACCGACCGAGGGAAGAGAGGGAGCGGAGTTGACATAACCCGGACCTGACGGTTAGGTTCTTCACCATGAACAGCCAAAGGCTGCTTGAGGTAGATGGGAGACATGCTTACTTTACCACTTCGCCCTAGCCGGAACAGCACTTTTCACTGCTAGCAATGGACGAAATATCGGGTCGAATTCTGTGGTCTGGGGTTGTGTGGGCTGGGAAGTTTTAACCGTTTAGTTATCGAGAGCAGCTGGTCTGAGGCACTGTTGGATTTACAGAGGAAAACATCTACATGTCCAACCGGCACGACCGGCCAGGAGTATGCGCTCGCGGTATAGGAGGATGTGGAAAGGTTGTGTGGAGGCTGGCCCGAATTCCCTGCTTTTTTCCGTAGTTCTCGCGTTGTCTGTATCACGTCGGCTGTCTCGTAGTGTCTCCGAAATCCACTTAGTCTTTGGAAATGTCATTCTTCCAGGTGTGCAGTCAAGAGATTGTGAAGAATGCGCGTCGGGGCTTTGTCGTTGAGCGGCTTCCGCAATGCTCCGGCTGTCTCTCTGAAGGACGGCAGACGATGGGTGTAAGCGCACATTTTCATTTAGCTAAGTCTGGTAACGGTCTTCCGCAGACTGGGACGATTGAAAACGTACCCAAAATACTCGGCGCGGCAATGGTAAATCCTTATCTCCTAGCAGGATGGCCTCCTCCCAACAGAACCGTGAAAAAGTTGCAGGGGAGATAGGGTTCGTTAACTTCCTGATGGTTGTGATGTTCTTAAATTTACTATACAACGCGAATCCTCAGATGTATTCTGCCCTCCAGGACAATCAATTTCTTGCATCTCCGGTAGTCTGTGTTACTAATGAAGCATGCCTCAAGTGGGCTTTGAGAAGTTACTTCGTTTGAAGAAGCAGGTGGTAGACTCCGGTGTCGACCATCGCGTGTCGATGTCGGCGCGCATTCTCAAAAAATTCGGTAACAGCGGTGCAGAAGGCGTCGCGAAATCTGTTTCACGTGTTTTTAACATGTTCACCCTGCGGGTTGGCGTTCATTCTGCCGGTGAGACCCTAACCGCAGTCGACGTTTTCCAGTACTGCAGAGTTCAGTCTTTCCCAGAGGTTGGATTTGTGGTCGACTTTTCAGTAGCACTAGGTTGGGATCAGTCTAGCATCCGGTAGCACACAATGCCTTTGTCACGAGTAAGCGATGGATGCACGTAACTCAGCAACTGCCGGTAGCGTGGGGACCGGAAAAACGGCTTGCCCGTTAGCCTACTGGATACCCGGAGGGTCCACAGGTGGCGGATAGTGGAACGGCCTTCAATGAGGGTTGACTGCGAAGCAAGCAGACCCAGGTCTGACGAATAAGCCGCAAAACCCGATTGCACTACTGCGACATGGCGACCGTGAACCTCCATTAAAAAAAAGTTTGCTTGCCACCGCTGCCCTGTGTCTAGGCTTTTAAGCCAAAGCGTTAGAGGAGACAACCTCGAACAAATAATTCGAGTGGCTGTCGGGGATTCGTCAGTACTCAAAGGTTCCAAGAAACTTCAACTACAGTATTACGATCCACGGCGTAGCGTCCGCATTTCCAGTGGTGCGGGCGAATAGTGTGCAAGCTGGACTACGCAAGCAGGGACGGACTCTTGGTATTGGATGCTGGAGTGTGCGAACGCTTCTGGGATCTGGAACCTAAAGTCTGACCGCGCGCAACCTTTATCAGTACAACGTGCAGGTCTGCTGCCTAGCTGAAGTCCGACTTATCTACTTAGGCTGTCGGCAAATTAAGATCCCTGGAGTCGACTCGAATTTCACCCTGTACCACAGCGGCCCATGCGACTCTTCTGACATACGGTATGGCGATAGCCCTTTTGCAACAAACGAACCTCGCTTTACTTACTTGGGGACCAGCCAACAACCGAATTGCCTAGGTGCAACTGAAGGGCCACTTCCCGAATATCTCTATCGTCTCTGTGTACGCAACAACTTCGGCTGCCGAACATCGCGATAGAAGGGCGTTTTACTCACAGCTGCAAGAGTTAGTTGAAAGACTCCCTTGCCACTACCTGCTGATTGTAGACGGAGATTGGAATGGCCGGACTGGACCCGGCGACTTCACAAACAGTCCTCTTACTGGCCGCTGTGGGCTTGGTTCTCAATGTGACAATGGCCAGAAATTGCTGAACTTTGTTAGAATCGACTGCTTGTCACCAAGACGTGCTTCCAACATCGAAGCAAACTTGGTATTCACAAGATAGTCATACGGTCAGTCATACTGACTACATTCTAATCAGCTCAAGGTTTCGCAGCTGGGTTCACGTTAGTAGATCGATGCGTGGTGCCCAGACGGGTAACGTTCATGGGTCGGACCATGTCCGTATACGCTTGAAAGTTCGCTTCTCATCCGCGCCAAAAATGCCACGTGTTGGACACCCCAATGGAGAAAAAATCTGACAACTCAGCATTGCCGAGGCTCTGAGCAGATAAATCCGGTCCTGTTTTACGGCCCTAGCCGACGGAGAAGGCAGTAACCAGTGGTCGTCACTGAAAACATCAGTCTGTGGTGCACCTGAGAGAATTCTTGGATATACCCAGCGACACCGCAGTGACTGGATCAGGGGAAGAACCCTGCAGACGGCTCAAGCTAGGTCCCCAATGACGATTCCTTCCGCCAACTTCAGATGACAGCAAAGTCGGCCAGGGATGACCGGAAGAAATATTGGGCTGAAATAGCGACCTCCATGGAACGGGTCGCGAACTTTGGTGACACTCGAAAACTCTACCAATTTATACGCCATGCTAGTGGTAAGCCGTCTGCACTGAGTGACTGTTCACGACGCGAATGGCGGCTTTATTTCTGACAACTGAGCCAAAGTCGAGCACCGGTGTGAGCACTTCGAGCACTATCTCAATTACGATGCATAACCCACCACGCCCTTGCTCTCCTCTGCAGCGGGGTTTTTTCCTTCTCCAAACTATACAATGCCAAGCGACTTCCTTCTGAAGAAGTCGCTTATGTCATACAAAGGCTACGCAACAAGAAGACACCCTGAGAAGACGGTATACCCGCGGAAATCTACAAGTTATGTGCCGACACTCAGACGCCCTGGCTCTATGAGGTTAGTGAACAGGAGTGATAAGATAAGGTTGTCCCTGATGACGAGGGCTCGGACATCCTTGCGCCTATCCTCAAGAAGGAAGATAAGACGAGATGCAAGAAGTACCGCGGCATATGCATCGTCGGTGTTGCTGCGGAGATCTTCGTTAATATCCTTCTCAGGCGATTCCAGGCCGTTCGTAACTCAAGAACGAGGCCAACCCAAGCCGGATTTCGTGCTGGACGTGGATGTACGGACCAGGTATTTACAATGGGGTGCATTCGCAAATTCGGCCATAGCTGCCAGTAACCGACAGCCGTCTGTTTTTTGACTTTGCTGCCGCGTTCGATTCCGTCCATCCGGAGTCCCCGTGGCGGATAATGGCACCAGATGGCACACGGCCAAAAATAATAGCTATGATCAGGGCCTAGTCGTCCCACCACTGCGCGAGTTCTAGTCCACAACAACCTTTTCCAACCGCTCGGTATTCGATCTGCCATTCGGCAGGGTTGTATCCTGTCGCCCGTTCCGTTCAACCGCACTATTGACTCGATTTTTGGGAGGGCCCCACACGAAGATGACGGTGTTGAGTTTACTCCCGGATACTGGCTGACTGAACTCGCTTATGCCGATGATATCACCTTAATAGCTTCAATGGTGTCACGACTGAACGAGGTCGCTAAATCTGTTGGTTTATCCATAGATGTTGTAAAGGCCAAGGTGTTTTCAAGCTGCATCCCCAACCAAGAGAAGGCACTTTTTAGGTTTTAGGGCTGTCAAATTGAAGAAGTAGACAGTTTTAAATATCTCGGGCTAGACTGCTGTCGGATGGATAGAGTGAGGAAGACATTGTCTCCAGATTTGATGACTCCCGCCAGGTTTTCCCAAGTCTCCATTGCCACCAAGATTCGCGTGTACCATGCGTTCCTCCGGTCTGTTCTTCTCTACGGTTGTGAATGCCGGGCTGTGCGCGTGAAGACGAGCGAAAACTGAAGGCATTTGACCACAAGTGCTTGAGGACCATCGTTCGAGTGAAGGATACCGACTTCGCCTCAAATGAGACAGTCAGCACTCGCTGAGTCATCGTAAGGATAATCCAGGCCACCCAAGAAAGACGACTGAGGTGGTTTGGGCCTGTCCTTCGTCGTCCACCTCAGGAGCTCAGTGTTACTGCCCTCGATCCGGCTACGTTATCCCCGAAGAGGAGGTCAATTCAGAACCTGGCTCGACACAGTTCGTCATGACACGGAAGTGGTTCTTGGACCGTCAGTATTCGGTCTCCGTCGTCGGCGAAAAGAATGGGTTGGACTATCCAGATCTGCTGTCGCGAATCGTCGCGCGCGGACAGGTACAGTTCGGGACATCATCTAGTCCGGCTAGACCAGGCATAATCGCAGCCGTACCAAGTATAAGTAAGTCAATGTCTGTTCCATGGAGGTTAATGTTTCAACCCAATACATCCGTCGGTCATCCCTAGTCGACTTTGCCATCGTTTTTCGCGGTCGGCGAAGGTATCATCATTGGACGAGCTGAAGTGAACCGTCTGGGCAGACAACTGCAGGGTCTTTCGGCTGATGTAGGCACTTTGGTGCCAATGAATGAACCAAGAGTCTTCTCAGCTGCCTCATAGACTGACGACTTCATTGGTGACCATTGGCTACGGCCTTCTCCGTCGGATTGGATCATAATAAAAGGCCGGATTTCTAAGCTTAAGGCCTCTGGGGTGCTGGTTCGTCGAGGTTTTGCTAATAGAAAGGAGGAGACGAGATCCAGGAAGTAGTCGCGAAGAAAGAAACACGATCGCCGAGAATCCGAAACGTCCGGCTAATAAAGCTCTTGTTCCAGCGATCGTGTCTCATTCTTTGCGACATTAAGGCGAATAGTACGTGGCATCTTGGTCCGGATGAGAGGTGCGCTTTCAGCCGTGTGCGAACGAGAACGGTCTGACCCATGCTCGTTATCGGTCTCGGCCCCATGCGTCGATCTGCTATCGTGAACCCGGCTGTGTAGCCTTGAACCAGCCTATAATACAGCCGATCTGACCGGCCGTATGACCAAGCCCGTGTCACCAGGAGCGACTTCATCTTCCCACGCTTGTTGACACCTCGTGGAGCCAGGGCACCAGTGTCGACTTGTAGATTTTAGCAAGCAAACAGGTTCGTTGCAAAGAGGCGACTAAGAAAATCACACACTTGTATTTTCGGGTCGGCTGGGAGGGGTTATTGAAATGCAAGTCCGCAAGGTTAGTTAAGGTAAAATCAGTCAGTTTCCCCGAGGCTGTGAAAAACGCAAACAGCTAGTTAATAAAACTTACTAGTTGTCCTTGTCACCTTGGGTGCCTCAGGGGTTTTGAAGGTTTCTGCTCTTTTGGCTTTGAGCTGAGCTCGAAATTCAGCGAAATTAGATCTCTTGAATGTTGATGAAGCCGGGATCTTCGAGGCTGTCTTTTTAGAGGAACGGAGGAGACGCTGAGGAAAACAAAGTGGAAAATATATTGGAATACATCCTCTGTAAATAAAATCTTCGATGCGAATATCTACCTGATTGCTTTTTGGATGGGAAACAGGCTGGAGAACAGAAATCATGGGGAAATGCGTCACTATTTCACCAAGTTTAGTATAAAATACATTTAGTGTACTTAGAAACCACGCATTTTAAAGTAATGACACAAAATATTAATTTATCGGATGTTTTACATCAAGTTTTTTCTGTCGATGAAAAGAATATCGAAAATATGGAAGAGCGACTTCTGAAACCCTAGTCGTAACAATAAATAACGCCCAACACTTGCATTACAAGGAATTTCAAAGTGGTGAACGTTCTCTCCCTCAGGCTTGCTGGACGGTACGGGCAAGGCGCTAGTCAAAATGATAGGGATGAGAGACCATAGAATAAGTTTCTCTCTAAAGTAATACCTTCGACGATTTGGGAGTGTCCTTGATCTTGCTGCTGACATTCTTCGGCAACGCGAATGGATTTAAATCCTTCCTGGCACGAGGAAGGCGAGAAGCCAGTTTGGTAGGCTCTTTCTTTGCCTCAAACCGATTCGGTGTCTTAGGCTGCGATTCCAATGCCCATCTAGAATTCTCGCGCCACATTCGAAGGCGCTCGAATGCACTGTCAATTTGTTCAATCTCGGAAGCGATGGTGGTCCAATACCCGAGCAAATCATTGACGTCAGCGGAGGGAGTAGGTGTTTCAGTGGCCGATTCCAGTGGGTGGAGACTGGCATCCGCCATGTCAATAAGGTGGTGGAAGAAGGGGAACTTTTTGGCCAGTAATAGGCCGCACTTTCCCACTGCGGCGCGAATGCTATCAAGGGCTGTAAAGTAGGGACCGGTTATTTCGATCGCAATAGACATTTAAAAGTTTAGGTACTAGTAAGTAATTAAGTAGGAAGAAAATAGTATATAACTTGCCGACATCAGGTATAGCGCTACCCTCCTCATCAACAACATCCTCCCATGCTGCCTTCGTAGCTTTAAGCCTAGCGGCCTCCATGTCGACCAGAACACGAAACTCTCCAACAGATGACGGCTCCATCCGTTCAGATGGCGCTGATTCGGGGATCGGCTTCGCCTCATTTCCAGGCGGTAGGTTTTCAGAGTCATCCACCGGCTCGGGTTCTGCATCAGCTTTGACTACCTCATGGGCTGGACTTTCATGGGTTGGCGGAGCCATTGACGAAGGTGAACTGAAATCGATATTTACCCAATTGGAAGCAGGAATTATTCGTACAGCACAACCGGCTGATGGCGAGAAATTTTAACATGTGTTTCATAGAATAGAAAATGAAGAACTAGCGCAACATGAGCATATAGATTATGCGCCAATGTTCAGAACTCCAAAGTAATAGCTGTAATTTAAAGTAGATGAACTGAACACTACGGAAGATGTATGTGCTACTTTTTCATGAAAGTGAGGATGAAATATCGTGCTGGCGATAAGATTATGACTGCTGAATATCAGACGCTTTGGTTCTGAAAACTAGGTCGAAGACTAAGATCCAGCGACTTAATCAGGCTTATATACTAAGTTCATGCAATTGGTATTAATCCATCTTGTCACGTCCAACTTAGCAAATTTGTTAGTCCCAAGTGACAACGACCGTCACGGTCCCAGGAAGTGAACGGCGGCGGCCTAAGGGAGAACTTTATCCTAGTAGGACAGACTTCTGAAGCAGAAGTGAAAGTGCTATATAAACCACATTGAAAAAAATCCATTATGGCCTGACCGTCAGTACTGATTTGGACAGAGTTACCCTATTTTCTGGCAAATTTTCAAGCCACGACTTAATGAGTCATGATGTTGCTCATGAGACAATGAAACGCTAGATTCGAACAAAAACCGCCTTAGTGTCACCGCCTCAAGTCCGACTTACACTGACCATCCAAGATGTTCGTGACTTTTGAGTAACAGTTACGGATGGCTTCCTTCAATGATGCAACGGGTAATGCCGGCAGTTTTCCATCACTACTACTAGGATGACAGCCCAAAATTGGAGTATAAGGCTTGCGGAATACCAGGCAACAGAACAGGCCTACAACAGTTAAATACAGAGGGCATGTGCGCAGGCTCGGTCAGCCCGGCGGTTTCTGAGATTCCAGCGTCGGGTGCTATGGGTGGTGCTTCCGACATAGCAGCTGAAGACCTGACCTTCAATGCCGTCTCTTACCATTCCTCACATCGTTTCGCTGTCCGTCACAATCCCGTTCCGCAAAGTGTGCAGCCGAGACTTCAAATATTCGCAAGGATGGCTTTTAACCCAACAACAAAACAAAACATCAAGAATAGCGGCAACTGGGGTATGCGATTCATAACCCAGCATGGACTACTGCGTACAGCTGTCTACGCGCAAGAAAATCCGTCTCGTCTTTGATTTCTGTCATCTATCTTGAAAGAGCAACGGGTGGAAACCGAAATTGACAATTGCTTTGAGCAGGCAAGGCCAGTAAGATTGTAATTTTTCCATCGCAACTGTCGATAAACAGTTTGACCAACGCGACCGATGATTACCACCGTGCGCCCCACGACGTGGCGGATACAGAACGGTCTTGCACGTGAATTAGTTTAGTGATAGCAGACTTGCGCAGCATCTGTCTAACTCATATTGACTCGGTGGCGGGTTTTGGCCCAATGGCTGACAAAGCTAAGCGGATCGTCTGTGCGTCACAAACAGCGTGGTCCCGCACGATGTACCAGCTTTTTGTGTTTTAAGGCTCTATAAAATGTATCACGACCTACTGTAACACGAGAATGGTCTGACGGTACATTCTAAAGGAAGCCGCTTAACATGCAAGCAAATAGACTTAATGAGATCAGTTCTGACGAAAATCCTAAGCGACATCAAATAAACCACCCCCTCCCCCATTCATCTGGACTTCGCCCTTCTTTGGTAGTACGCTTGAATCAACCTAAATAGCTTTGATAATACGGCATTATGCAGCATTAATCACGGTGAATCCCGATGAACAAGCAAATTCAAATGTAGAATCCAGGAGACAGAGTTGAGTGAGCCGTTGGCAACACTAGCCGTATTCAGGGTCTTGGCGACTGAAACAAGCCCACTACGGCAGAAAACGGTACTGGTAGATGACTGCGTAAGTGACACGATTGTGAACGATTGCGGAGACCTGGGATAATTTCAAGATCTATTTCAAGGCAACCTTTAAACATTGATTTACCATCTGCCTTGATGACCACTCTAGTAGAGGCGTCTGTATGGCCTTCATATCTCAAACTCTGGCCCGAAGATCCTGTAATCAAACAGTGCCAAGACGTCCTCAAACTACACGGTGGTTCAGGGGGAAAGACTGACGACTAGAAGCAGGACAAAATGCGCCCTGCATTTGGAAGTCGTGACCAGCAGTTAATTTACTGCATCTTGACCATTTCTGGTCGGCGAGGTATTACGTATAGGCTAACACGCGTCCAGTACATGAAAGTCTTATTCCAGAATTGGTTCGTCGACACCGATGGTTCGGTCTCAAGGCGCAAACGTAAAGCTTAAATGGTCTCGTGTTGGCTTTGACAACCAGTTCTGACGACTTTAGGTGCACTATGAGCGATCGAAATAGTCAGCACAGTTGTTTTACAACCCGAGTGAGTGCTGGCAGGTGATGTGCAAGAATGCCACTAAAGTAAATACTATAGAGGGGAAGCCTGAAAAAGAAATAATCCGCCGGAATAAATATTGCGCCGAAAGTTTGGACAACAGTATTTGAATGTAGAGGCATTCCGTTGATTGAAAACAGCCCCACAAGGACAATTACCCGAAGTATTCCGAACGACGAACGGGCGTGTTCGTATGGAATGCAGAGGTCCTGCGCCTACTGAGGGCTCCTGGACAAACAGATGCCCTCTCGGTTCCTAATGACGGCATGGACTGTGCTAGTGCGGCGTGTTTCGAGAGAAGCAATGTTGACAGCCGGCGGGAAGCTATCGCCATACCGTCATTTTTCTTGGGTACGTGAAGAGGAGTTCGGGGTTGATCAACTGAGTGTTTTAGGCAAAAAAACGATCTCTTACCATCCATTGACGTGAAGGATTGAGATTGACCTAAGGGACGGCGCCGAACCTCCACCATTGGACTTGATATTATGGCATTCACCCGATCTTCTACGGTTTTGAATCTCCTAAGATCCGTCGATTTCCGTACGACAAACCTGTTGAAGTTAGCGCCAATAAAAAAAACCTACTTTTCCTTTGTACTAGGGGTAATCAGAGACTTCCTTCTGGAACTTGAGCGTGTCTTCATACGTGATTCAGTTGACGCTCGAAAGAGGGATGACTTGATAGATATTTCCTCGTCAATAGCAATTTCATCGGCTGAAACGTCTCCAAACCGCAAATGGACTCCCCTTGGAGTTTGGACGACATCACTGATGAGAGTTCGTTTGCCCATGCTTCTGAGCGGCAGGCTGGATTCCAAAAAAACGACTGTCTATAACACTCTATCGACAAGTAGCCTTGTAAAAGCGTAAATCCAAACAGGCAATGTGAAAACTTGACTGGAACAGTTAACCGGACCCGGCAACCTAATCCTGAAGATGACTTAACAACGTAAAAAAGAGAAATCAACCCCTTTATAACATTCAGGATGCTTCGAGAATGGTAGATACGCGGGCGTTCCTGAATAATCATGCAACCCTGTAAGGCTCATATAGAGTAAAATTTTTCTTGCCACTGTGGTAAAAGGGTCTGGAAAAGACTTCGCGGAAAACAACTAAGGACGATATATTTGAAAACTTAAGACAATATGGATCGCATCTGTCAAGAAAGAATGAACATGCGAAACAGTGTCATGCATATCTGGCACGAGCCGTTTTCTGAAGATTGTAGGATCAGTGTCTGACTGAGGAAGTAGCGCAGCTGACTGCCTAGGCAGTCAGGGATGAACAAAACCAGTCTGTACATTTAAATTTTCAAAGTCTGTGCGTTTTAATGCTCGCAAGGGACGCCAACCCTCAGCCACAATCATACCGAGGACAGGATGTGAAGACCAAAGTCTGGTGTGGTTAACATACTTAAGCTATAGCTTACAGTGGCAACGCATATGTAAGTTGGAGGACCTCCAGAAGTCCCGGAGGAGACGACGCTAACAGTATGTACTAAATGAAACAAGTTAAAGTGGACGAAGAGAATACGCTTATTAAAACTACTTCAACAGAAAAAGACGGCAAAAAAACAAATCAGCAGACGACTAAGGATAAACAAATTTAGTTCAATTTGCAGCAGCCGCGCCCGCACGAACTTTCGTCTCTCGGATTAATAAAACAACTTTTCTGGACAAAGTTTTGCAACGGAGCAATGCTAAAAGTCTAACAGCTCGATGTTCAGAATTTTTCTGGAGGTGGAAGGACTCCTCCTCGTTTTCTGTTAAGAAAGTGTAAGAGAAGATTTGCCTGATTGCAGGCCATTTTACGTAGAATTTAGAGGAGGGCAGGTGAGGTCAAAATAATGAATAGACTGTGAATGGTGTAAGCTGTGGTATATATAAAACTGTTCGAAAATTTAAGGCAAATTCCCCATAACCTTTCCGCTGGTGGAATTTCGGTGTCGGTAATATATGTCTGTGAACAAGAACCGAGGTATCGGTGTCAATAGGTTGGTAAAAGAAGTTTAGGTAGCGTTAGGTGCCAGTGTCTAAAATCGCGGTTATATGGCCAAGCCAGACTTTCGTATGCATATGCGTTGTATTGCAACACTTTTATCTGCGGTTACACCACCCACAGTCACCCAGAGGTAAAATTGCAAGTTTGGTCCGTTAATTGAAGAATACGCACTACATTGTCGCCTTCCCGTTAAAATATGAACATGCACAAAGACAATGCTGAAAACGCGAAAACCTAGTGTTACTCCGACGATGAGTGGACGGGGCCGAAGAAGCAAGGAGACGGCCAACCGCATGACCGGTATGCATCGATACCTAAATACCAGTTATCATGGCATTCAACTCTCATTTGTGGCCCTGCGAAACTACTCTGCATTGCGAATAGTCGTGGACTGATATTATTCATTGGCTGACAAAAACGGATGCGATATTCGGTGATTACGGATTCCCACACATATTTGCTTCATTCTCCATCCTCAATAAGCAGGTCCGGTGGATGAGCTGTCCAAGAGAATTCATTCAGATCTGCTAACATACTAAACGTGCGACCTTCGGATTGACATATCAGTCCTACTGAAAAATGCATCCACTTCCTCTGAGAAGCAGAGAGAAAAACCTATGGCAAAATACTGGCTTATGTCATTTATGAAGATGACCTGGAATTTTGGGTGCAATAAGACCAGTTTGAACAAAACCCTTTGTATATCCAAAGTAGATCTTCACATATACAACCAGTCGGTACTGTGTGCCCAGTCCAGATAGTCTCTCTGGGGATGAAAGGGCTTCGCATCCAAAACGGAACTCGCGAAGAGGTCGTCAGCGTAGACCCGAAGCTGCTATCGCGGACACTCCGCCAGACGGGCTCTATGATTTCCCTTCCCCTGTCCCTATGTCTCTTCTACTCTCTACCCTTCCATTTCGTCTGCCCTGTGTTCTCCTTTTTCGCTGCCACTAACTAGAACTTACTCCAATCGCAAAATAATCTCGTTTTTCTCCTGTTCCTCTGTATAGTTCACTTTCAGGTGACATCACGTTCATTTTTCTGATAGTCTTTTAACTTATGTTCTAGGCATGAATACTTCCCTAGACGTACTCACAAGTCACCTTTGATCTAGCTAGGAGTCTGAGGCAGACCACTCCAGCGATCGTCGTCGCCACTAATTTGTCAAACAGTCTTTACGTCTGCCTCACGCTCTTGGTCGTTTTGTAGATGGCACCGCGTGATAAAATGTACAAGCCAACCAACGCTGTCCCTTTACTAATGAGCTGCAGACTAGCGCAGCTCATACAGAGCAAAGGCACACATGCGCGTTGGGGTTCAAAACCTCGACGGCGGATACTTGCTCTAGCACACCTGAGGAGACGGCGGGCTGAAGTGGCTTGCTGAACTACCTGCACTCTATTTCGGCTCGGTAAAGCTTGTCTAATAATTCTGCCTTTCCTGGCTTGTGACTCGGGACTGCTTATTTGTTGACCATCGAAGCTAGATAAAAAAAGGACTAGACTGAACTCAATTTATGTTGTGATAAGGCTCTATGCCTTGCCTCTTTGGTTCTGTGAAGTATACAGTAGACTGCTGTTGAGAGTGTCCGTACACACAGCCTTGTTACTTGGAACTATGCAAAACCTAAAGCTCATAGCCTTTTAGAATCCGACGATTCTGTAAATAACATTAGTTTATTGTGCCCGCAGTGGCCCCGAGGATCTGGAATATCTCTGAGCGGATCTGCAGTATCAGAGAGTGTTATATATGGTATAAGTATAATTTGACAGTTACTTCCTCTGTTGGGTAATAAATTGCCCGAAAATAATATCTGTTGTGATACTGCAGCCTTCCAAGAGAAAGAAGATCCGAAGGGAGGTCATAAGCAGAGTACTCCGAATCTTCATGAATTGGGGCCGGAACCGATCGACCATTATGTTTGCAACTCGGAAGTTGACATTAGTTCAGATAGACGCATCTCCAGATGAAGTGATTCGTAAATGAGCACTCTTATACTACAAATGAGCGCTGCAGTCAGTCTCTATGAGTGTCAGCGACTGGAGCTAAGACACTTATGAAGGGTGGAAGTACGATTGTTATCATCACATTTTGCTATACAGGCCGAATGAAGTTAAACGAGTCTGCAGTTGGGAAAATTGAGAAACGAATACAGATAACCTAAACGGTGTATTTAACTATGCTTGATCCGAGCACCATGTTATGTGAAGAGATACAAGGTTCCCGGCAGGGTTTAAATCGTGTAGATGTGGCGGATCGGTTCATGTGCCTCGTACAGATGGAAGCACAGCTATCAATTGACAACTTCTCATCTGTGGCTCCCGTAGACAGGCTCTACCTAGTATCAATGCGCCGGTAATCAACTTGGTCGAAATGATAATTCGGACGAAGGTATTCGATGTTGTGGCCACGCACCCTGTAATTCTGCAGCCCTTCCCATCCATCGTCTTCCCTTCTACTTCAAATGTTCCACGGAGAGGGCAACGTCCAATCGCATAGGCAACCCGGACTAACTCAGGCCGTTCCTTCAGTAAATAGAGTTTTGGCTCGTAGTAGAGTTCGCAGCCGTTTGTGATATCTAGGCTGCCCTATCTAATGACGGCATTGCTAACTATATCGCGTAAAAAAGGCTGGAAAAGGTAACGTAAACAAATTCCGGAATCACGACATCCGTATGCTGACTGTGCCTAGTAAATATAAAACTCACGATCGACACAGCCAAACGAACAACCAATTCCAACTTCATCACATCATTGCGCTCAATACCTGCTAGAGTGATTCTGTTCCCTCTAACGGCCCGGAATCGCACTGTTTAAGACAACCGACGGAGCAACCGGCCGAATAGTACGACGGCGCTGGTCGTTTGATAACTGGCGCGCGACAAGGTAGGCGTAGCTGCTTTAAGTAAACCTGGAGTCTCCGAATAAGGCCAACTGGAAGGGACAAGTGCCAACCATAACTTTTGCTGGAACGGTAATCGAAAGTCAGAGCAACACTAGGCTTGCGTCTTCTTTACAATCAGAAAAGATATAGTATGCTAACTGCCCTGTATGCCACAGGACATCAAAGAGCGGCTGAAAACCCTAAAACCGTCTCGTCAGCACGCCAAATTTGCCACTGTTGCCAGCATTTACGTCCACCAATGACCAGACTTGACGAGACGAATGACACGTTCTGCAGGAGGCAGACAAGCTGATTGTCCTTAGTGACTTCAGCAATCGCGTCGAGATAGACGCGGCTGCCTGAAAGGGAGTGCTGGATACCAACAGACTCAGCGACTACAACGATACGGCCCCCTTCTTCTTCTTTGAATACGCGCAGAACACCATCTCCCCACCAACACCTTCTTTTTCCCTCTAACGCAGGAGGCAAATTTAATGCACCCCCGATCGCGACACTAGCGACTGTTAGACTACGGTTTTATTCAGATGCGAGACCGTTAAGATGTACTAGTGAGGAGAGTGACCTACGACGTCAGCGATTAAATGCATCCGGCCTCGTCATATCCAAGATGATGTCCCGATTCCAATCCCACGGGAAACTGCAAAGTAAGTGACCACCAGGCAAGTCAAATACTGTTCTGCTGCCTGTATCTGATCACCACTTAGATTTCGGCAGTCGACTGACTAACCGCGTAGAAGAAATGCAGGGTCCAGACGACAACGTCATCATGGAGACTCAACGGCAGCAACTGCAGAGTGCCATCCACTTCAAATCCCTGAACGTCCTCTGCCGCATACGTCGCCAAAACCAGAATTGGTTTGGCTACAACGACGAAAAATCTTCCATC